GAAATTGTGTTAATTACTGTTGCTATTAAACCCCAGTTTTATAATCTTAAGCCAAACGAAGTCTCTTTGGAGGACCATATCTAAGTAGAAAGCAAAAGAAATTGGGGAGTGGGGAGGGATAAATAAAATTCCCTTTAAGTGTCAATTCTGAAAGCTGGAAACTTTGTACAAATACTCTGTGGGATATTAGATTTTTAGTAAAATGTTATCTTTACTGTGAAAATAATAGAACTTTTGTTCAGTGTTTGAGTTGCCTGTCAAATAAATGATAGTGGTTACATAGGTAAATGTATTAGCTTGGTTTGGGGCTGTACGTGACTGGTCTTGGTCACTAAATTGGAGATATATTCTCCAGTCTGTCCAGCTTCTTTCATGTGATAAATATTTGGCACAAATGCTAACTTTGATTTTCCTTCATACTTTTGGCCATTTGACTAGGAAGAAGTACTATATATTCTGTATACAAAGTTAACTAAAACTTCAGTTAATTTTTTCCCCTAGCCTTAACCTCTCTTCTGTGATTTTGAATTGTGAAATTAAAGGAAACTTAATTTCCAGAATATTTACAGTTGAAGTTTTATTGAATATCCTTCTTATGAAACTTTGAGAATGAATTTTAAAATGTAGATTAATAATACAGTTCTTTTTTTTCCTGAAGAAATTCTGTTTGCCTGAAGAGATAAATACATTTTCACATAAAATTCATATGCCATTTAATCTTTATAGTGGGTAAATTTGTTGATGCTTAGAGCTGTGTTATGAGTTTGTTCACAGGGCAAGTTTTTTTTTTTTTAAATTGAGGTATAATTGGCATCCATCATATTAGTTTCCAATACACAGCATAATGATTACGAAGTATAGTTAACATCCAAAATCTATTTTCTTAGCAACTTTCAAACATGCAGTGCAGTAATGTTAACATAATCACCATGCTGTATATTAAATTGCTGTAATAATAAAACCTCCTTGACAGCTGCAGTTTGTGCCTTTTGGCTTCCTTTACCCATTTGGCCCACCCCCTCTACCCTGCTTCTGGTACCATTTATCTGTTCTGTGAGTTTGCTTTCAGTCTTGACCATATCAGTGTTTTTATGCTTTTTCTATTGAAATCAAAGTCATATATGCCATCTCTTTAATTTCAGTGCTCTAGGAATTAATGTCAGAGGTTTCATGTGGAAAATGTTGGTGATTATTTCCACTGAAATGAAGGTATATAATCCATGGTTAGAAGACTCATATATTTCAACACTTGAAAGAGTTTATGACTGGACTTAAACCTTAAACCTTGTAGCTTCTGCATTATGAGATGCCTATTAAGATGAAATCTTTGAGTTTGTTTTCATTTCAGTTTGTCAAAACAATTTTCAGCAGTTTTTTTTATTAGTGTAACTCTAACTTTGTGTTTTAAAATTTAATTAATAAAATATGGTAGGTATACTAATTGGTGAAGACAACACAGAATACTCACATAGCAAGAAGGAAATTATTGCATGGTGATTTTTGGGCTCATGTCTGGAGCCAAAGAGTTAAATTTTGAGAATTTGAGATTGTAGTGAACTCTAGGGGGGATAATAGGTTGCCTGCATATCAGGGTTCAGAGGACTAGTTCCTCATGAGATGATTTGAACTTTCTTCATTTGGAATTGTCTGTAATGTAAGGCATTGAACTTGATCACCCCCAAGGGTCCCTTCTGTCTCTAAGTTTGTTGATAGCTGGCAGAGGTGAAGATCCTATGTGTATTATATGTTACTCTTACATTTACTTTTGGGCAGCTCAAACTCCAAAGTTTTACAGAGCCTGGCCTCCTTACTTAAAGACCAGTTTATGCTTTAAAAGCAGATAGCACTTAGGTAAATGTCTTCTTACTTGCCACTTTTCCTCTCTTAAATTTCAAGAATTAACCCGTGAATCGCCTGGTGCTGATTGACAAACTCTGAAGGTTTGGGGAGCACTATTAAGGTTACTTTACTAAATATAGGTTAAATTAACCACTATGACTTCTATATTCATTTGAATCACTTAACGCCCCATAACATACAATAACCATTTAATAGCCAAAAATGGGCAGGTAAGATCTCCTAACCCTCTTTAATAATAGTTTTCTTTGCTTTTCAAAGTGAAAGGAGCAGTATCATGCTGTTCTATTGTGCCACACTGTTGGGGGTCCAGGCAAGATGGCTTGGAGATGGCTTTTGAAGTGGTGAAATTTCCTGGATGAATTCTGAAATAGACCGGTCTTTTATTTAGTTCTTGGTGGTGGTGGTTTAGTTGTTACTTTGTGTCCGACTCTTGTGACCCCATGGGCTGCAGCCTGCCAGGCTCCTCTGTCCATGGGATTGTCGCAGCAAAAATACTGGAATGGGTTGCCCTTTTCTTCTCTAAGGGGTCTTCTGGACCCAGGGATCAAACCTAGGTCTCCTGCATTGCAGGCAGACTCCTGCATTGCAGCAGATTCTTCACTATCTGAGCCCCCGGGCAAGCCATACCAGGTTGTACATTTTGTTGTTGTTGGAGTTAAGATCTGAATCAGTCAGGGGCAGTTTGACTCAGGAGCCCAACATTTGTAATCAAATGACCTACCTTATTGCTTTCAAAGAATAGGTAACAAAAGTTACTCCTTTCATCTCAGACCCAGTCCTCTTTCTCAAAGTCAGTCAGTACCACCTTGAGGGGGATGTGTTTCAAGATCTTGAGTAGATTCCTGAAGCTGTAGATAGTACTGAGTTCTGTATATCCTGTGTGTTTTTCTTATACTAATGGGTGCGGAGCATATATATAGTGGACGCAGTGGACAGAAGGATGATTCACATTCTAAGTGGGACAGTCACGGATGTCATGTGGTTTCACCAGCTATATGGAATTGAAAACTTTACTTTGAAAATTGTAATTGAAAAGTTTAATTTGAAAATTGTAATTGAAAACTAATTTTTTTTCCATTTATCTTTATTAGTTGGAGGCTAGTTACTTTACAATATTCTAGTGGTTTTTGCCATACATTGAGATGAATCAGCCATGGATTTACATGTGTTCCCCATCCCAATCCCCCCTCCCACCTCCCTCTCCATCCCATCCCTCTGGGTCTTCCCAGTGCACCAGCCCTGAGCACTTCTCTCATGCATCCAACCTGGGCTGGTGATCTGTTTCACCCTTGATAGTACACTTGTTTCAATGCTGTTCTCTCTGAAATCCCACCCTCGCCTTCTCCCACAGAGTCTAAAAGTCTGGAAAACTTAATTTTTAATTCAATATTTTTGTACCATGGCTGATCAGGTAGGTAACTGAAACCATGGAAAGTGAAACTGGTGATAAGGCCAGAGGGAAGGGGTTAAATTAACAATGTCTGTTTTATGAATTTATTTATACCAGTTTTTAATGTGTAAATAATACATAAACATACATATGCAAACCTTCTAAATTTATATGTACACATAGATGGAAATTATACTGTTTTTCCTGTAGCATATCTGGGAGAGACCTTTCCATCAGTTCATGTAAATTGAACCTTCCTCTTTCTTTTTTAATGTTTGCATAGTATTTTTTCTTGTTTTCCTTCTAAAATTGAGAATAATTCTATTAGTAATTTGAACCTTCTGACTAAATTTTTTTTAGTATATTAATTGGTGGTGTGGTAATGTGTGGTAGAAATAGCCCTTTTCTACTGAATTGGGTCAGTATGTGACTCAAAAGAAAACCCACTTTGCTGTTACAGTGGATGGAAATCTCTTAAAACCCAGTAATAGATTGAGTTATGATTAATTTACATTCTTTTTGGCATAGCTTTTGTAATGTCGTATGATTAGTCTTTTTGTTCCCTCCCCAAAAAAGAGAAGTTAACTGAAGAACTGTACTTGGAATTTGACTGGAGACTTAAAAATAGTATCAGATTTGACTTATAAAAATTGCAAAAAAAAAAAAAATGCAGTTTTTTTCTCTCTCTATAGTACCTTTGACCTATTTTATCAGCTAAACTCATTTTCTTTGAAAATCAGCCTTTTTTTTTTCCTGTGTATTAGTTTCTTATAAAAGATAAAAAGTTCAAACGAATTAAGAACTCTGCTTTGAACTAAATTGTTATTACATTTATGAACTATGTTCACAGATTTCTTACTGCTAACATCTCCATGAGGTAGATAATAACTGATTTTACAGAAGAGGTAAACTAATCTAGAGAGCAAGTTTCTTGTCTGGAGTCAGAGCCAGCACAGCTGATGTTGAAATCCAGGAGATCGGGGGCCATTTTTCAGTTTACTGTGCTTGGGTTGCTTTTTCCTGGTTTCTCCATTAAGATATTACATCTCTGCCATTTCCTTTGTATTCATGGTTTCATTTGGCCACAGCAGTACTGTGAAGTACCCATGGCATATGTTTCTATTCTGTGGCTGGGGAATCTGAGGCTAAAGGTTGTGGACCTGTTCTGTGACAGGACTTCAGCCAAGGTGTTGAGTTTAGATGCAGTGCTCCTTTCCTTTACTAGAAATGTGTAAACAAAGATTTCTACTTGTGCTGTTTTTTTTTTTTTTTTTCCAATTGGGAATTTCTTGGTCATTGCATGAGAAATATAAGTAGATTTTATGTGCTGGGTTCTGGACTTAATGCCTTGAATTTGATATAGTCCTGACACTTTATGGGGCTTCCCTGGTGGCTCAGATGGTAAAGAATCTGCAATTTCGAGACACCTGGATTCGATCCTTGGGTTGGAAAGGTCCCCTGGAGAAGGAACTGGCAACCCACTCCAGTATTCTTGCCTGGAAAATCCCCATGGGCAGAGGAGCCTGGTGGGCAACAGTCCATGGCGTCACAAAGAATCGGACACGACTGAGCAACACTTTTATGACACACAAATCAACCAGACTTCACAGTTTAATTAAGACAGTGCAGCATTGGTGAAGGCTGTCTGATCAAACTGTGTATATAGAGTTTCTTCTTTTATGGTTCCTTCGTTTTTGGTGTCGTATCATATATAGTTGACAGTTTATTTTTTTCTTTTTTTCCCTTTTAGTGAATGGTAGTGTCTAGAAAGGGTATGTCCCTTCAAGAGAGAGGTGCCAATGTCCAACCGGCCTAATAACAATCCAGGGGGGTCACTGCGACGTTCACAGAGGAACACTGCCGGGGCCCAACCACAAGACGACTCGATAGGAGGAAGGTATGTATTTAACGGTAATTGGAAAAGAAATTGGGATTAAAGAAAGTTTTTTTAAAACCTCACTATATGTACCAGAGCTTAAATGGCTCACTATAAATGGGAATTTCTTTTCTAATTTTTGAGCTAGGAGCACAAAACTGGAATTCAGAGTGATTATCTAATCACCCCCACCCCCAGGCTCAAAAAAGTAGTTCTCAGTCATTATCAAAACTTGAATCTCTGGGTTGTTAACATGTGGCACATCGTGTCTTGTTGGCCCCTTTTCTTTCTCCTCACTGTCTTATACACAGGCTACAACATACCTTTCAACCATTTGTGATCCCTTCCTTCATGTGTGTTGTGACTTGGTTTATATATCTTATTTGAAAGGAACCTTCATTTGTTTTACGATCTTGAGTTTTGTTGCCTAGCTTTTGAGTTTTTTCCCCATCTTACTTTTTGACAACATGTGGATGCTGACAGGCTGGTAAGGTTGTCTGTTAGCACATCCATTCTCAGTGTTTGATGTTGAGTTGGTCTTTTTTAGTTGGAGTCGTTGTATAGGAGGTAATATGAAGAATCAGATACATTCTGCTGAATGTTGAATTCCATATCTGATTTAGCTAAGTACTCTCATTTTATGCATAATATATTCAGATTTGCTTGGGCCTACTTTTCCAGTGCATGGACTCATCATAGATTAAAGTAGATTGTGGCTAAACTCTAATAAGATTACCTTATGCAACATTTTGAGGCGTTATCATGTATATATTGTCTTGTTTAGTCACTAAGTCATGTCCAACTCTTAGTAACCCCATGGACTGTAGCCCACCAGAATCCATGGAATTTCCCAGGCAGTAATGCTAGAGTGAGTTGCTGTTTCCTTCTCCAGTATATTGTCTAGTAAAAAATATATATAATTTATAAATATTTTATATATTTATAAAAGGTAAACATCAAATGTAAAGAAGAAATTGAAGTATGTCTTGCTCATGTCAGGCTGTTTTAGTGGTTGAACATTTGGATGTTGGGCTAGGACAGTTTGTGTGGCATTTTTGTCTCTTGTGAAATAGCTGTGTGTCCTTTGTTATATATCCTTCAGAAAACCTCGATATTTTTTTTTTTAGTCCATACAGTGAGGATACTTATTTTACAGGGTTATTAGTTAATTTAAGTATTATAGTATGTTAGACTTTTATAACAATGCTTAGTACAGAGTTTTGTCCTAAATTTTTTGCTTTTTTTACATTTAGATTATTCTTTGGAGTAGCCATACTTTATTTATGCTGCTGATTAGAAAATATCACCCCCCCATTACAAAAATGTTACATATTTTAGAGAACTTGGAAAATACAGGGAAGTATAAAGAAAAACATTGTATTTTCACAGTCCACTTAGAGTCACTGCTAACACTGACCTGTTCCTGCACGTGCATGCACATGCATGTGCTTAGTGGTTCATTTGTGTCCAACTCTTGTGACCAGCTCACCAGTCTCCTCTGTTCGAGACATTTCCCAGACAAGAATACTGGAGTGGTTGCCATTTCCTTCTCCAGGGGATCTTCCCCACCTAGGGATCGAACCTACATCTCCTGTGTCTCGTGCATCACAGACGGATTCTTTACCCGCTGAGCCATCGTAGATGTGCATGCATAAGCATATAAGTTACTTGTAATTTTCAAACGGAGTTTTGTACACATTAATCCCCAGGTTATGCTTAGACTCTTGATAGGATTGACAAACATTTTGCACTGTCACACAGTATATTACTTGTAAATCCAGTGATGTTTCAGCACCATTATCTTTTCTGCACCTCAGTGGTAGGGAAAATTATTTAAATATTCTATTGTATTATGTATTTTAAAATGTGAGTGGAAAACAAATAGACACAGTTAATTCTAGTTGATTAAGATTAATTGGCTTTAATAGCAAAGTTGCGCTCAAGATTGAACTCAATTAGATGTGTAGAATGGACTTTAAGCCAGTCAATGATGCGTGCTCAATTGATGGAAAATAATGAAATTTAAGTTTCTTTGGAATGGCAGAAACATGCCAAAATACATAAAGCAAGGTGTAATTAGGAGTTTTTGTAAGACTTGAAGCCTTCCTCCCTTTCAGTAGTGCAGCCCCATTTCATCTCTCATGATTTCAACTTTTATATCTTCGAGAAACATTTCCTGGCAAAAGTAGTACACAAAAGAGGGCATATTCACTTTTTTGAAGTTTAGTATCATATGTGTTGTTTCCTGTCTTTAACACTTGTTGAAAAACATGACTTTTAAAGTCTTCATGTCTACTTGTGTGGTTAATACCATAATTTAGTAATTTTGATTGTTTAGGTGTTTCCTGTTTTTATGTGGAGAAGTATAATTATGACCAGGACGTAGGAATTTGGAACTTCGGTCAAAATGTCTTATCAGTTTGGCTAAGAATGCAAATGAGAATATATTTGCACATCTGAATCTCATTTAGCCATTTTAGCGTGCTTGATTGTTTTGTTTGTGATAGATTGTCAGAACTGGAAGGGACCTCAAACCCCAGACTGACTTGTGCAGCCCCAGTGGAGTGTGCTGTAGTACCAATTATGTAACTTCTGAGAAACCTCTCCAGGGATGTTGGGGAGTGAGAGGATTGGCATTAATTGGGAGAGAGCAATTGTAACTGTATTTTCCATTCTTTTAACCTGATTCCTGTTGCCTAGCTTTCCTTAAGTAAAATACTCCTATTATTGTGACTTTTGTTTCCAAAACACGGTGACTTTGGTCTTGTGGATGTATTCAGTGGTCCAGTGATTGAAATAGTAGCACTAATAACAGCATCTACTCCAGCAGATCTACATATTCTTTCACTTTGAGACTCAGAAACTGTGTGATAGTAAATATGTAGTCCCTGTTTTGTAAATGCTTGCTCAGCTTTACACACCTGCTGTGTAGAGACAGGGTTCAATTCCTGACTGCTTCACTCTACAGTCCGATTCCTTTCTTTATGCCCACTGTTTTTACTGCACAAACTACTTGATCCAGATGATGAAAGACTTAGAGGAGGTCGTGAAGTACTTACAACTGAAGAGTATTTAACTCTTTCAGTTTAGAATTTTAAGTTTTTTCCCTCCTAGAATTTCTTAATTCATTCCTTTTTGATTTGCTCTGTTTCCTTCCCAGCTTGGGTGAACGTGTCCTTTTTTGTGTAGCTTCCTTTCTGTGACCACTTCCGTCTTTTTCCCAAATCAAGGACACTTAACCTTTTTTTTGCCTTAAGAAGAAAAGGTTTAGTTCATCCATAAGGTAAAAGAAACTTGATTCTTTGGGATATATTTATTTTCTCTTGATTATTCCCTCTGTTGTTTTTCACCCATTCTTCATCCCATTCCTAATGAAAGGAGATACCTTTCCCCTCTTGTGTTGTTTTTCTCTTCTCCCTTCTTCCATAGTTTGTTGGGCGGCTGTTGATCTGTTCCTCTGCGTGCTCTTTCTTCTTCAGGAAACCCTTCCCCTCTTCTGCTTGTGTGTGGGCGTGCTCTGAGGGATGTCACCCAGCCTTCCCACTGCTAGCACAGGTATTTGCAGGCCGTCCCTCCCTCTTGGCTATTCATTAGCATTTCATTAGCATTTTGTTTTTCTCAAATGTCAGTGGTAGGATTGAATTCAGTTTTATAGCAACCTCAGTTAAGGTTGCTGTAGTGAAGGTTTGTTTGACATTGTTTTTGTTACAAAAACACAGCATGATGAGAACAGAATATTGGATGCCTTGGGAGAATTAAAGAACTAAGATAAATTTTATCCATCTACCCAGAGATAATGGTGGTTCGTATTTCTACTGTTTCTACTTCATGATTTGAATTATGGCTTCTAGTTTTTTCCCTCTTTTTTTTCTGTAAAATATATTGCTGCCATGCCTATCACATTTGAGTATGATTATGATTTTATTGAGTCAGATTCCTGCAATAGGTTCATAGGACCCAAGGATATGAATTATTTTGAAGACTTCTTTTTTCTTTCTGGTGCTGCATGACATGTGGGATCTTGGTTCCCCACCCGGGGATTGAGCCCATGTCCGGTGCATTGAAAGTGCAGAGTCTTAACCACTGGACCACCAGGGGAGTTCCTGAAGACTTTTTAACAGAATGCTAAATTGTCTTTCAGAAAGATCTAATCACTTTGGTTTTTTTTAATCTTCTTGTTTTGACTAAACCAATTTATACTTCTACTAACACTTTGTGAAAATGCCTGGTTCTTCAAATTCTGGTTAATACAACACACCATTTTTAGTAGAAGTTTGTGGGGAAAAGGGATTCCTTTGGTTAAACTTACTGTTTCTTTGATTACCATAGGGTGAAGATCTTCCCCACATATTGGCCATTTTTATATATTTTATGAGTTGTCTTAGTGTCCTTTTTCTCTTTTAATTTTGAGGATGCTTGTTCTTTTATTAGAACCCTTTATGAAAAGGGTATCAACCTACAGAGATGGGCAAGTATTTTTTGTTTGTGACTTGTTCTACTTTCTTCTAATTTATGGTAGATTTTAAAGTTAGGTAGTCAGGTATATTAGCTCTTTGTTTCTTTTCTTCCTTTGCCTTCTCTGAGAATAAAATTTTCTTCTCAGTTCTGTCAGTGTTGTTTTTTTTTTAATGGTGTGAAGAAATGCTTGAATCCAATCCACTCCACCTTCACACTCCCATTACAAAATTTATCTGCAGAGTTTTACTATTTATTTGTTCCTGAGTAATAAATTATGAGATCTAAAGGTTATTGCTTTCTGTTAACATTGCAAAGCAGGGAGTTTTTAAAGCCAGGGTTAATTTTATAGAAAGATACAGATTTGTATTAACATTTTGCTTTAAAAAATTATTTCAAAGGTTTGGGATACAGAAAAACACAAACAGAAAATAAATATCATCCAGAGATTAAGTCTGTTTTGATTTTTATCTGTCTTTATTTTGGTGGGGGAATCTTAGTTCCCCAATCAGTTATTGAAGCTGTGCCCCCTGCAATAGAAGTGAGGAGTCTTAACCACTGAACCC